CAACAAATTAGCAACAACAACATAAGGAGCAACATTATCTATGACAACCTATATAACATGCTGCTCGGCAACCTCCTTGATGCTCTTCTCCTATGTAATTGGCATCATGGCTATAATCAGAGGTATCAATGGACCTCAAAAAAATAGTTCCTAAAGGACAATTCACTAGCAAATTCATCTGGCTTCTTCTCTTCTTATCACTCCAAGTATCGGTCATAACAAAAACCCGATACTGAGCCCATAAATCCTTCTGAACCTCAATAATCTCCCTCGTGACAATCACCTTTTTTTTCAAAAGAGGCTCTAAAAGCTCATATGGGGTTGGGGGCTTCATCCCAGGCCCAAATTGGCCAATTGCCTCTACCAAGGTGTAAAAGCTACTTAGGAGAGTGGCATTAGAAGGAATGATCGCCTCACAAAACCATCTAGCAATGTCCTATGTAGCTTTATCTCTCTCTTCCTTCTTGATTTTATTCTCAATATTCGTTCGCTACTTTGTTTTCTCTCTTGCAACCTCAGGGCCAGGCTGGGGCCAAAAAGAATCTATAACCCTCTTAGGCCCCTGACTCCCAAAACCAAGTACAACTTCTTTCCCTCCCCTAGTCTTGGATATAGCAAGTTGTTCCATCTCTTCACACCCCTACTGATCACTATCATCAATATCAAAATTGACATGAACCCCAAGCCTCAACTTTGCTATGGATGCCTCTCATCTTTTTTCTTTTTAACAATACTCGTATAACTTTTATCTCATCTGTAATAGCATCAGGAACTTTTTTACATGGAGCAACATCCCCCCTGATACCAACAAGATATTTCTTAAACCGGTTTATGCCCTCATTTGTATCCTTTTCACAATAATTGCATCTTAGGCAATTTTTATACAAAGGATTTGGGTTATAGCTATATTTCCAACCAAGATCACCACTTCTATTAGATCCCGAAGAAGACATCTCAAACTAATACAAGTAATTTAAAAATAAATTTTTTCACTAACTTTGATTGCTTGATCTCCAAACTTTCACCTTTAAGATGTTTTCTAATCTCAAAATCTTAAAAAAAAACCCTCTAATAGACCCATAAAACCTCCAATGGGTGACGTTTAAATCAATTTCTCATAACTTTGAGAACCCTTCGATCTGATAGAAATCACAAAAATTTAGCTTTTTGAGGTTTCTCTCTTTCTAAAATGAGCTTTAATGGCGTTTATGTTTGAAATGAACCTAAACCCCACCTTTTTTCCCGTCTTGCTCTGAACGAGGGGCATTTCCACCCTTGGGTGGGGCACAAGCCTTGGGTGGCCGCCCAGTGCTATGCGCTGGGTGCCCGCCTAGGCGGGTGCCCAAGTGTTTAGGCAGCCGTCGAAGAGTAGGCTGCCTATTTTTACCGCCTAGGCATATGCGAGACACTCATGCCCTGTGGACGGCCTAAGAGCTAGGCGGTCCACTTTTTGGAATAATGAAATGCAGTTCAGTGATCGTTACTAGTTTATCAATGGATATTTGCTTTATAGCACACGGTTAAGTATCCCTGATACATCTTTAAGGTAGCATCTTGTGTTGGATCTCCATACAGGAGGATTCGTGACACAAATAAATTTCAAGAGGAGAGCTGAATTTAAGGTTTTTATTTTTATTTTTAATTTCAAGGAAACAACAGGGTTTTCTTAGTAGTTATGGGCAGGGCCCCCAATTTTTATTTATCAGGATTAACATGGGTTTTAAAATTTGGCTAATTGGTTTCCTTTTTCTTAAGGGAGTGGATCACCTGGTAGGGCTCATGTGAAGGTGGATCAATATAGGAGAAAAAGAGGGAAGTGATAATAAAGGATTAGAAAATGTGTGAAGGATAGGGGGAGAAGTCCTATTTTAATGGGTTTTGGGTGAGAAGTGGTACATGGCAAGGATAGAGAAGGAAGTTAGGTAAAGTTTTAGAAAGTGGGGATTTTGTAGAGGATACGTTAGTGTGTGTGTGTGTGTGAGAGAGAGAGAGAGAGAGAGAGAGACTACGCATGAGAGAGAGGGTTAGAGAGGAAACTATAGGAATTTTGTGGGAGGTGTAGGAGAGATGAGGTAGAAGATATCCTTCGAGTCCTTTTTTTGTTATTATTTTTTTATAGTAAGCTTGTATAAAAGAGGAGTTGGAAGCCCCATTGGAGTGGTGTATGTTATTTTGGACTGAAAATTAGTATATGAAAGAAGAAAGAGAGCTTCTTTTTCTGTGGGCTTAATTTATAGCCATAGTTCTTCTCCTTTTGTTGCTGATTTTTGTTTGCTTGAGGATAAAAAAAGAGAGGGAATTTAATTTCCCACCTTCCTTTCTGCATCAACTTGGTGGTCATATTGGCAGAGGTCAAACCTATGCATTGGTAGAAGAAAGATCTTTTCGGCCACGCAAGAAAATGGGTGTGTATCAATTTGTTGACAAGTGCAAAGTATGTTAAGTGGCCAAGAGACACTTAAAACAGGGGTATATAAAAATCATTGCTAGTCCCAACAAGGCCTTGATTTAATTTATCCATAGATTCATTGTGGGGTTGCCTAGGACAAAAAGGGGATAAGATTCAATTACGGTGATGGTTGATTGATTTTCTAGGTTGGCACACTCTATACGATGTAGGAGGACCATAGATGCTACAATGGTAGCTACTCTCTTCTTTAAGGAGGTAGTAAGATTGAATGGGCTTCCAAGGACCATCATGATACCCGATTTCTTAGCATTTTTGGAGGACACTATTAGGAAAAATGGATACTAAGTTGCAATTCAGCAGTGCTTATCATCCAGATATAGATGGCCAAACCAAGGTGATCAATAAATGTGTGGGCAACATGCTAAAGAGTTGATTGGAGAAAATGTAAAGGTGTTGGATTTGGTGTTACCCCAAGCTGAGTTCGCTTATAGTAACTCTCTAAATCAACCAGGAAGACTCCTTTTACTGTAAATATGGTATGTCTCCTTTGCATTTTTAGGCCTTAGTTGCTTTGCCTGTGCGTGAGACTATGGATACAGATGTTGTGAGTATGACTGTATATATATGAAGAAATTACATGAGAAGGTTTGAAGAAAGTTGAAGGAGAGCCACGAAAAGTACCAAGATGTTGTGAATCAACACCGCCATGCACAATTGTTTACTGTCGGAGATCTTGTTATTGCGTATCTTACCTAAACAATTTCCTATTGGCACCTATGGAAAGCTTAAAGCCAGGAGATTGGACATTACAAGATCAAGAGGAGGATCAATATCAATGATAATGAGGTTGAGTTGCCTAGTGGGTGGAATACCTCTCCAGTCTTCAATGTTAGAGACCAGTTCATGTTACATAGTTGTGCTAGCCTAATAGAATTGAGTATTCTCCAACTCGGGGAGGATGATGTAGCTAAAGTTCAAGAGAGAAGCAAAATTTGAGTTTTTATTTTATTTTTCTAATCTCACTTTTGTAGTTATTATGATTGGGTTGCTCAATTTTTTTGTTTATAAGTGTTAACATTAGTTTTTTTTTTTTTTAAGATTTTCTTAGTTAATTAGGTTCCTTTATTTGGGTGGGGAGTAAATAATGTCGATTCCTACTTTGATTGGACCTAAATGTTTTTATGAAAGAGTGAGAAACCTGTTACCTCTCCATTAAAGTGAATTTTCTCTGTTGTGTATGCTGTTTTTGTTTTTTTTGCTTCTTAAGATCAAACAAAGACTTGATATAATTTCCAGTTGTCCTTTCACATCATGTATCATGTCAGACATTCGAGAACATGCCCAAGAAGCATGTCATATCACATGGTTAAATCCTTATGTAGCAAGACCTACATATAAGCATGTAGTAAAGGAAGGCACCCTCAACCTCTTAGACCATATACAAAGGGAAGTTTCATTGAAATTCCCCCTATCTAAGTCACATTTCAGTAATATTACTTCTCTATTTCCATAGCCATCATTTAAGCCAAGCTACATGACACCCAACCATTGCTATCCATGACACAAGACCACCTGGTTGTCTGATGCTGTTGAGCACTTAGCCCCAACTCTCAGCATCTAAGCTACATACTAAATATATATATACTAATTTTATACATTAAGTACAATGACATATCAACCAATGACACTTACCAGCTATTTAGGACCCACATTACGTTCCCAACAAAAAGACCGATGTATATGGTATCCAATCAGTAATTTTCTCCTAAATACAACTATGATCTTAAATCATTTTGTCAAGACACCATACAGGATATAAAATCACACTTGTAAATAATAAGCACTTCGTTTCTCTCCCTCAAGAAAATGAAGGTGAATTTGGAGCATTTGAAATTTCTCAAAAAAGTTTCCATTCACATTCTAGAATAATGGCAGCAGGGTTGAGAATGGTGAGAATGAGGCATCCATGAAAGGTTGAAAGAGAAAGAGAGAGAGAGAGAGAGAGAGAGAGAGAGAGAGAGAGAGAGAGAGAGAGAGACGT